AGACACGCGTATTGATCGATACATGCATACATAATCTCGACATATCTGCATATACTTTATATACATATGTCGGTACACTATATATAGACCGATCTACCGATATGCTTACCTATATCTGTATACAGATAAACGTGTCTACATACATTTATATATAGACAACTGTGTGGCATTTAGAGGTTCAGAGACATACAGATATAACGTGTATAGCTATGTTTCGTTCTCTTCCTAGACCGTCGCCACTCGGCCCGTGCCCACCCCCCCTCGCCCACGGCCCACCCCCTCCCCTCCCTCTTCCCGCTCTCCCAGCGCAGCCTATCTGAGGCCAGTGTGCGCGTATCTGATCACCGCCAACATTCAGCTTTCCCGCCCCACCCTGCCCTCTCCGTCTCTCCCTACCCAGCTCCTCTTGCGCTCTCTCGCATGGGCATGTCCACTCCTCTGCTTTCCTGTCATCTCCGCCCCTCCCCTCGCGTGGGCCCACCTCGGCATCACCCCTCGCCCAGCCCGTGGATGCATCGATATGCAGTCGTTCGCGCCCATTCGACGCCTCGCGCCGATAGACAAGAACAGTTCGATCCACGCACCGACCATCGATCGAGCGTGCGTCTATCGGCGTCTGGCGTCGGAAGGGCGCAGCGGATGTTCTCGACCATCGACCCCAGGGACCAGCGAAGAAATCGCCTCGACTGTCGACCCCTCCTGGGCGATGTGGCCCAAACCCCTTCGGAAACACTCGGCCAGTGGCACGGTTCCAGCCCAGCGCCGCGCCCTCCGCGGCGGCGCAGCCCTGCTTCAGCGCCGCCGAGATGGGCGACGCGGCGGTGTGTCCGCGGGCCGCCCTGGTGGCAGCGACGTGGTGTTTCTGGATCACCAAGGCAAGGGTGGGGGGGCGACCCAGTAAGCACAGAGTTGCGGTTGCTTGCCGAGAGTGCGAGCGCGATTGGCGGGGGGGGGATCTTGCGAGCGATCGCCATGTCACATTTCGTTTCGAATGCGTGACGAGATGGAAAGCGAAATGGAAATTGCTGCGCGTTACGAAACATTAAAAACCAAGTTTGCCCAACAACGATCGCTCGCAAAATCCACCCTCGAACCGCACTTGCACGTCCCGTCAAGCATGCGCATTCGAAGGCTGACCAGATAGAGTACACGACTGAGAAGCTCCACGATGCGAAGCAAAATCGAGAGCAGATGGAACAGTACAAAGACATCATCGTAGCGACAAGGGAGATCCTCAGCCACACTGGCGTGTCGCTGAGCCAGAGCGTGGCGAAGGACGCGGGGTGTGCATGCGGGGTCTCTCATTCTCGCGGCCGGGTCTTCTGGGGTAGAAACGCACGCGGGTAGTCATCGGGGCCCGTCGAAAACGCGGGGGCAGGGGAACGCGGCTGCGGGATAGAGACAGACCCTGCGTGCAAGTGCCACGTGCAGGACATATTCCTCAAGGTCGCTGCCCACCACGAAGCAAAGTGGAAGCTTGCCGATGAGCAAGACGCATGGGCAGATGACATGGCAAAAAAAATGAGGAACTTGATCAGGCACGCCGAGCAAGCGCTGCACAAGACACACGGGTCAATGTTATGTGTTTCTTTTTCTGTTGAACAGTCAGATCGGGCCCTGGGTCGGCGGAGTGGCATTAGCCGCAACTGATGTAAAAATGCAAGGCCCGCGTGTCGCAGCTCGAGCTCCGGCCTGGCCAGGAAATTGAATTGGGCAAAGCAGTTCAAGACGAAAGCTGAGACTGAGGACATGAGCATCCGAGTAAACATCTGACCCTGCACCTAGGATCGCGCGCCCTGGGCCGTCGCAGATGGGGCAACGCCCGCGGGGTCTGTCCAAGCGCTGGTTCAGGGTGCCCGATCTGAAGGGGGGGGCCATGCGTCTTGCGCCGCAGGGGACGGCTGCGACCCCCGCCGACTCCGAAGATGCAGTTTCAGGGGCATCTTCGGGCAAGAAACGGAGGATATCAAAGAACATGGAAACGCTGGAGGCATGCGAGGGATGGAACTTCGGCTTCAACCAGCAAATGCAGGTTGGACTAGTTCTGTCGAAGCGCTTCTCTCTTGAACTCTCCTGAAACAGCAACCCACATCCCGTGATCTCCTCCACCTCCGCTCCTCTATCTGACCCTGCCCCGCCCGACCCAGTCTTGCCAGCATGGCAGCAGCACATGTGTTTACTGGTCGCCCCCTGGCCCCCTCCCCCGTCAGATGGCCTGGCGATGCAAGGCCAGCGGGCCCGAGCACCCCGAGTTCACGAGAGGCCAGAAGCAGGAGGGAGAGAGGCCTTTGCTGGCCACGTGGCCAGACGGCGTCCAGTGGGAGATCGTCGGCACTGTCTCCACGGACGCGTCCGCAGAGGATCCCGCGAAGGGCAAGGGTGGCGACAGCATCGTGTTCAAGGGCGAGAAGGACGGCGCGGTCGTGAAGGTTGTGGTGGAGAGGAAGGCCGACGTGAAGTGGCTCCAGATGAAGGTCGGCTCAAAGCAGATGCTGGAGCTGCTGGGGTACAATGACGAACATCACGAATCGGCCAAGGACTTCGTGACTGCGATCGCGAAGGACTACATCAAGAGCACAGCCGACTGGACGGCGAACAAGACCAAGTTCGAGAAGCGCAAGCAGGAGTGGCTGCTGCAGCACGGGAAAGCGTCGAAGAAGACCGCCATGAAGAAGCCAGGCGGCGCAGCTGCGAAGCCCATGAAGTCAGCGCCTAAGATGCCAGCAGAGGACGAGGCAGAGGAGAAGGAGCCAGAGGCACAAGACGCAGAGGGCGACGAGGAAGAGGAGGCCCTGCAAGAGGAGGAGGAGGAGGAGGAGGAGGTGGAGGAGGAGACGAAGGACGAGGCTGCCGCAGACGCGGCTGCAGCCCCTCTGAAGCGGCCAGCCTCTGCCATGCGCAGGCCGGCCGCGGCGGCCGCGGCGGCCGCGCCTGGCGCCGACAGCGGCCGCAAGCGCAGCGCGGAGGAGAGCTCCGCGGTGATCAACGAGGCGGAGGCAGGCGACGAGGAGGGCGCCCAGGTGGTCGTCGAGACGGGCAGCGCCTCGCCTCAGCCACTGATGCCGTCGGCGATTCCTGACGATGACTTGTTTGGATTTTGAGCGCAGGAGCGCAGGGCTGAGCAAAAAAAAGCATATCCCACACCCCCTCCTCAGACTCCCCAGTCCCCCTCTAACCCCTTCTCGCCTAACTCCCTCCTCGCCCGTCGCTCCCGCTCGCTGTGCTCCCCGCGGCCTTGAGCGATCGTGCGAGCGCCCCATGATTGCCGCTGACCCCTCAGCGGGGTGCCAGGCGGGCGAGGGCCAGTCGGGGGGGGTGGGCGCGCGATTGCTGCGGGCTGCAGGCGAGAACTTGGCCGATGAAGCGGGTGGATGAGCGAGGGGGGGGGAGGGGGGGAGAGAGAGGGAAAGAGGAGAAACACAAGAGGGCAGAGGAGGGGGGGGATGGAGAGAGGACCGAGATAGGCAGCAACAGGAGTTGGGCGGGCAGCATGCCTCCCGCACCGCCAGGACCACGCCGACGCCTCCACCGCGGTGGACGAGATCGCGGTCGACACGCTGCTGAAGCGCATATACGGGGACCCGCTGTTCGGGAAGCTCATGCAGATGAAAGGCCACGGCGACCTGAATCGTACGATGACCGAGCTGATGGGTGATCTGAGTGAGGACGGCTACATCAAGAGCCCGTCGAAGTGGGGTCTGCCGCCCGTGACCGCCCTGAAGGGCGAGGCCCCCGCCCCCGCAGCCGCGCCAGAGCAGGGCGCGGCCGCCGTCGACGCCAAGAAGAGGGGGTTCTTCGGCAAGAACAGGCCTAGCTTGGACGAGGAGGTCGACTTCTGGACTGCGGTCAAGGAGGGCGACTTCCGCGTCCCGACTGACTCGAGGCAGTCATCGATCGCTGGCAAGTGGAGGCGGGCGCACGAATCTGATGAGAACCTCCGCCGTGACTACGATGCCATCACGGGCCAGAAGAAGTGCAAGCGCCGCGAGGAGTTCCGCATCCAGTGGGCCAAGGATCAGTATGACACGGTGATGGCGCGCTCGGGAGCCAATGCGCCCAAGTGCCCCGCGAGGAGGAGGAGAATGAGGAGGGGGATGAGGATAAGGAGGAGCAGGAGGGGGGGAGGAGGAGGAGGA